TTACATATAAAGTTTAACTAATGAGGTCAAAAGTTACTTTTTTAAAAAAAAAAACGTTGCCCCACACTGGGATTTTCTCCTGTGTCGTAGGTGCGTTTACAAACATACAATTTCACATACACATCACGTGCAGACCCGGAATATTAATTTGTGGATCACACACAGAGTTTTTCCGTTCGAGAATCGAACCCGTGACAAGTTGCGCCGCAGCCAATTGCCCAGCCTATGCGCCAACCGTGCAGTCAAACCAACAAAAGTTTTAAAGTTAATGAAAAATAGAGTTATTCCAATCCCGATAGGCAAATAGATCCCAAAATATCTTGATCCCTGTAAACGATGTTCAAAAATAGCCTAGCCATACTAATATAAGAACATAGACATCACAGTAATATTTCAAAATCTTCTGATTAATAAGTCACTTTAGTAAATCCTATTGTTTCGAAAAATGACAAAACAGTTACACACGCTTACACGGAGCTAAGCCAATAATGATAATAATGATTCAATCAGACACAATCATTGACGGACAAACACACATTACTAAATTGCCCGCAAATGTGACCTTTGACATCGGCAAGTAACAACATTTCTTATTTAAGTATTCACATTCACACATACAGCATGTTGTCCGCGAGCATGATTTTTAAAAGGCTTTCGTATCTTTTTTTATGTGATAGGTCGCCAAACCAGCTGACGTATTACCTGATGGTAAGCAATCAGCGCCGCCGAAACATCAGAGGAGTTATTTAATACCAGACGCAGTACCGGACTTTTGGGGATTAAAGATTCGGAGACTTAGGGATTGGGGAGTGATGGGGTGAGCGGAAGGATTAGGCATCTTGCAACCTCACTCACACGGCGAAACACAAAGGTATGTATGGTTGTTTCACGCCGATTTTCTGTAAGGCCATGGTATCACTCCGGCAAAAACAATTTCGCTGTCTAATACTTAGTCCTTTAGTCGGCTCTTACGATAAGTCCTTATAACTATTGTTAACTGTAACCTGATATTATTATATTTCTGAGATGTGGCGTGTCGTGTCGCTCCAGAAATATATGGGGTTCATACATTAACTATAGTAAGAGACAAACTTGGGTGACCAAAAAATTAGACGACTTTGACAGTCAGTCATTCCAAATCATAAACAAATTGAAATTAACTAACATGTTTTAAAAAACCTCATCATTGTCAAGTTTTTTTACACTCTGTATTAAAGGGACTATGCATAACATGCACCTTATTACCTCAGACATAGAAGAGAAAGTCGAAATAACATTATTTAGATGCCATCACATGTCGTGAACCATTGTTAGAATGTTCTACAATGTAATGAAACTTCTTTTAATATTTTACACCCCAGTAGATTACTATCGTGGTAATAGTATTCAAGTGTTTCACTGGTATATTTTTTTGTATGTTCGGCAAACGAGCAGACGGATTACCTGATGGAAAGAAAGCAGCGCCGCCCATGGACACCCGCAACATTTGGGGGTTAGGGATTTGGGAGGTTTAAGGATTGGGGAGGGATTACCTCACTCACATGCCGAAACATAGCGCTGTGGTTGTTTCACGCCGGTTTTCTGTGAGGCCGTGGTATCGCTTCGGTCGAGCCGACCCATTTTTGCCAAAGCATGGCTCTCCCACACTTTTCCCACACTTGTATGTTTTAATATTATAATTTGATAAGTTCTTTTGATCATTACTAAGGTTTCTGTTTTACTAAACACTCAAAGCTATAAGTACATAGATGATCACAAAATTTTAAGGTATTTAAATTTTTCAGACAGTTTTGCAAATTTTATCAAGCGTTTTTTGAAGGGAGAAAATTATAAAATTGCTTTTCCCGTCCAGGATGGGGAGAGGACGAATTTCAGATTTCAGATCGGGATATTTAGTCAGTTTCTTACTGATTAATCCCGACCCCGATCCTTGTCCTAGTAACATTGGTACCTACTTGCCAAACTTTAAAACCGCGCCCTTTTGCATGACAAGCACTTGTCTTAACACACACACTTCTCCGTACCTCGTTAGACAATCCAATAAAATAGATTCGTACGCAAATATTTCACAGATAATAAAGACAGAGATAGACTAGCGCCATCTGTTATTTGCAGATGACGTATTATGCCCGCCGCGTAGGTTAGCTATCATTTTAATATGAGCTATGAAGTAAATTACAGGTCTGTACGGAATTCTCACAAAGCCCTAAGGTCATACAATATCTCTTTAGCACTTATGCTGGACCGAAACACACCCGAAGCTAGTATTATCTTCTCACTACGCTCTCTCTAATTCTTTAGTGTCAGTAGCCACTAACTAAGTACATACAATCAAAAGTATGAGAGACATACTTCGGCACGAATTGGCCGGCTCGAAAGGAGTACCTCGTCCTCGCAGAAAACCAGCGTGAAGCAACACTTTCTTAGGTACCGTGTAAGCGATGTTACCGGAAACCCCATCCTTTCCCAAACCCCATCCTCAATCCTCAAATCTCCAATCCTTAAATCCGTAACAACCTACAAGACACGGCAACGCACTTGTAAAAACTCCTTTGGTATTGCGGGTGTCTATGGGCGGCGCCGATTACTTACCATAGGAAATCCGTCTGCTCGTTTGCCGGCCTATGACTATGACATAAAATAATACATTTATTTTACCTCCCCAAATTCAATACATTTTGAGATATTCACAAGAAAAATGTTTCAGAGAATTAATCGAAAGATTCTCCTGAAATGTATGTAAATCCTGTAGATATATTAACTTTTTTCTTTCATTTCTTTTCTACTTGTGTTTTCAATATTAACGAGCACATAGAGTAGAGAACGTTATAATATGTGTTATTTTACATCCGCAAAGGGCTGACCGTTTGAAAGTAGACAATGTACAAAATTATTAGCAGTTTTGTTACTATCTCCATGTGAAAGGCAATCGACTTTCCTTAGTATTATTTGGCAATCGTAATCTCCCTTAATTATATACTAAAAGACCTGTGTATTGTTATTTAAATTCGTCTATACTCGACATGTCTCCATTACGGCTTAACAAAACGCTTTCTTATATCATTAACAAGTATAATCTTAGACAAACGAACGCCCACCATAATAAACCACAGTTACAACTAACACTATTGTTCAGTTGTACATATCGATATCGATACGCGGTACATCTCTATTCTCTCGTGCTATGCGAGTCATCGATCACATCGATACTTTCACTCTCTAGTTATAGCACTATGCGTGATAAGGGTGTGGTTATAAGAACATAGAAGAGGCGGATTCAAACAAATACATATCGTTGATTTCGATTGGATTTTACACTTGATCCACGACTTACCTACTGTTCTCTTTGGAGATGTAGGTAATGGGTTTGTGGAATTATGTATATTTAGACGCACTTATAATACAGGATAAAATATAAGCCTGTACGGTTAGCGCGGAGGCTGGGCAATAACCGGTAACTCTTTGTGTGATCTTCAAATTGTTGCCCCAGGTCTGGGTGTCACGTGTATGTGTAAAAATAAATCATGGTTTGGGGCAACGTTTCCCCAAATAGAAAATGGAATGAGCCTAGTGTAAATACTAAACTACTTACTTAGTTACTTACTTAATTACTTCCCTACTAATGTTTAGCCGTGGAATATCAGAACACCTAAATTGATTTAGGTATTTGCAACACTTACCGAAATAAAAAAAAAACTGATCCCTCATATCCACTTATTCATATCGAACCTTACTTTCTTATAAAATTTGTTTTTCATAGGGTAATAATGTTACCTCGTATTTTCGAACAAACAGCTAAGCGGATCGGTTTTGTGCAAATCGCTGTTCAACCATCTCTACGTCCCCAACCTTACGAGTTACCGCGAATCGTGAATCACCACGGGATCCCCGCGAGTCGCGGCCACGACTTACATTAGAAAGCAGGTTCCATTGTGTGCCCACCATTCGCCATTATTCATAGCACACTTGTACCGAGCTCTTTGTAAACGTTCATGTCAATTACTGACATAATCGTGTTAATGTGGGATCACTGGACTGATTTATATGCATTAGTTCTAAGTTGACAATGTCAGGTTTTTTCGGAGAGTGCGATACGAGATTTGAATTTACATCAACAGCCTGCACTTCCATCCCCAGCATATGGATGTTTGGCATCATATAGTTATTTGACTTAGCGAGAAACTTTCTGTGTAGCATAGCAAATCTGTTGGAAGTCTTTTAGCAGCGGTATTTCGGTAAAGAAAGAAGACATTCACAGTTTTAAGACAAGTGCTCCATCTTATTGGACCGAGAATGCAGTTGTAATTTTTCTGGTGTTGTGGGTGTCCAGGAGTGACGCCGCTGGCTTACCATCAGGGGATACTTCTGCTCGTTTGCGAACCTATCCCATAAAAACACATAATTCAGTTATTCCAGTTTCTGTGAAAACTATTTAATTCTTTTTATTCTATATAATTATTTTGTTTGTTGAATAATAATAAAAAACATGGTTGTTTCAGGCTCAGCCGATGGAGCCCGTCGGACAGCGCAACGAAGACAGGTACAAAATACAAACCCTTGAAATATCTCCATCGATTTTTAAATAAACCCCTTGAAATATAACTTGCATCATCATCATCAGCCTATACGAACCCACTGCTGAGCAATGGCCTCTTCCCACACAGAGAAGTTTTGAGCATTCATCACCACGCTTACTAAAGGCGGATTGGCAATTTCAAACTTATAATTAGAAATTCTAAGTCCAGGCTTCGATGTTTTCCTTCACAGTAGGTATATCAGTGGTGTCTAAATAATCTTAAAAAACTTAGAAAAGTCACATTAGTACTAGCCATGTTTCAGGTAGTTTTAAAAATTTAAGCATACGTACGTGATAATTATAGGGACAGAGAAAGCTGCTTTGTTTTATAAGGACTATGTAGTGAAGAGGCATAGAAATACGCCACCAACGACTGAGGAGTAACAGGACATCTACATGACTAAAAAATATCCTCAAATTGTAGGACACGGAGTTATACGCCCCCTCGCCAAGTGTGGAGAGTCTGCAAGAGTTGGCGCAGGCAATGGGCGCAGCCGGCTTTGAACACTACACCGAGGGCAAGGCACTGGTCAAGAGGCTGATACCCCCTGACAACCAGCCTGAAGATATTGTCGAATATCAAGGTAAGAAACGCTTTAAAGAAGAAAAACATGCTTTGAAAAGTGTCGATCATACATACATCTAATATCTTCAATTTTTTAACCGAATTCTATAAATCACTTTTCCAGGAGTTATCGGTAGAGCCGGCGTGGACTTCCCAGCGTTCCCCAACATTCCCCCTACCGGATTCAACTGCAAGAACGTACCAACTGGATACTACGCTGACTTGGAAACCGATTGTCAGGTATACTTAACTACTATTTATAACTTAAAAAATTATTAAATGTTCAAAATGTCGTCCTCAGCTATAATTCCTCTTTATTAATTCCAGGTATTCCACATCTGCGACACATCCCGCAAAATCTCGTTCCTTTGTCCTAACGGCACCATCTTCAGCCAGTCGCACCTCATATGTGACTGGTGGTTCAAGGTGGACTGCGCCTCCGCCCCAGCACTCTACGAATCCAGCGCCGAGTACTACTCCAACGAACAGAAGAAGAGTCAGAAAATTACTCAAAGCCTCAGCAAGAACCAGGACCTTCAGCAAATCGGCGCCGACACCAACATTAGGGCGGAGTCAAGGCGTACGCCAGTCAATGTGCCCAGCACGACTGAACGACTGCTCAGGAGCAGGCAGAGACAGACCGAGATCCCTAAAGCAACGGTGAAGACTTACCAAGCGTTGTTCACTGACAACTTCAACCCCACTCAAAGAACTGCCGCTACTACTGCGTTTGAACAAAGAAGGAAGAGCTTGGTTCAACTTATTTCTACAAACTTCGGTAACATTCCAGCAAGAACTACACAGCCCACTTACACAGAATCTCCAGTGTACAGAAGTACTCCGGACTACAGTTTGAAAGAGATGCAGGTCGCGGCTGAGACAGCAGCATTCGCAAACAACAATAACAGACAATACCTGCAGGACTTCCACAACAAGAACTACAGGCCGTACCCAGTATACACCCCAAACATTCCTGTCAAACCTAAAGCTAAGTCTAATCCTAATTTGACAACTCTGTACGATTTCCGTGATAAGCAATCGACTCAATCAACTGCTGAACAAACAACGACCAAACGGCCAACATTAGTACCATACACTAAGAGCTATTCGACGATCATTGACAAGCAAGAACCTTACACTAGACCAGGTGTATCTCTACTCAAAGGTTTCCTCCAAAAGGAGAAGAACAAAACTTTGTCATTAACAACTACCGAGAAAGTTCAACAGGTTACTGCTAGAAGCGATAATCTGGAGTCGGAAAAACAGGTGACTGGCAATACTAAGGACAGTTTCGAGTCCGCTACCAAGATCCCTCACACTACCAGAGCTGATGTTTACACTCAAACAGCATCATCTGACAGGTATGATGTATATTCTACCACAAACAATGCCAATCCGACCACCACGGAACCTTCCTACCAAGAACGTCGTGAAAGACTGATGAGAAAATTAAACTTGGACAGGTATGGCCCTACTGCCGCCACTGAACCTACTGCCCCTACAACTAATACCGACAAATACTTTGGGGACCAGCCCAACAGGCCCGGTTTAGTTGTACCACCATCTCTTACACCGAAAACATTACATAGTTTGGCGATTTATTACGCAACAGCTTTAGATAACTTATCAACTACTCCTACTCCTGAAGAGGCTGAAACTGTGACTCCTGCATTCGATGAGTATGAGGCTATGGAAGAAGTTTTACCAGCTCTTTTTAGCCGTCAGACGATTAACAAATACAGCAACCTCTTTGGTCAACAAATGACCAATGCTGAACTGTTGGAAGAAATAAGGGAAGATCCTAATGGAACGTACAATGAGTTAGTAGAAGACCTTTCGGTTCAACAAAGTCAAAACCCAATTGCTACTTCTCCACAAATCAGGGAGTTGGCTCAAGTATTTACACACGCTTTATCTGCCTATCTACAAGACCCCGTTCAGTTTAGGAAGGTTTTGTCGGATATAAGACCAACCCATCCCTCTTTCGGCGATTTGTTGACGACGACTGAAGAATCTATTAACACTGAGCCTACGACAACAGTAAACGAGGAAGATGATGAAATATTAGGTTTCTCAGATGATCATAAAGCACTACCGCCTGTATCAAACCTGCGAGAACCGAAGGCCTTAGGTATTCCTACGATATACCCAATCACACAGGAAACAACCACTACTCCTAGACCTACCACTGAATACACAACACCATCATACAGTTCTTACAGTTCTCTATCTACTGTCAGAAACCCATTCAGGTGCTGTGGAAGAATATCAGCATCATACACATCGCCTTCCACTCCTGCCGCCACAACGCCATCTTACACAAACACCGTTGCCGTAAACGTTAACACTTTGGGCAGTCACTACAATGAACCCTCATCCACAACTGAAGCTGATTACTCAGTTCCCAAATATGGAGGATTCCAGAACAATGCTTTGACTCTTAATGACTCGCCATACGGAGTAAATGCTGTTTCAACTGAAGGTAAACCATTAAGCGAATATGTTGAAGCTACTAACCTACCCACAGCATGGGGCATAGACCCGTCAGCATCGACGAGTAATGATTTTGAAAGCAAGAAAATTAAAGCCACTACAGAAATTCCCCCTACAACATCTGTATACTTTACAGAGACAGAAAGCGTAGAATTAGAGAACGATGAAGAATTACAAAGAGCTCACAGTCAATCTTTCGCTGCGCCACAAGGTAACAGCATCCGTCATGGTAAACAATTAAACTTTAATGCTGAACCGATCAAAAAACCTGCTGAAGATCTCGAAGCTCCTACGATTCCTGATGCTGATCTCACAACTGTGCAGACGACGACACAACCAACAACAACGGCTAGAGTAACAGAAATAGAATCTCTTACCACCACACCGACTGTATCCGATGTCGTGTTCACATCTCCTGACGGCGACAGATCAACAAACCAGCAAAGTTGGTCCAGCACGGCATACGGCAATTGGCAAAGCACTGTGATAGACCCGATCACACTTAACGACGGGTTGAGCCCGACAGCGCCAGACCAGAATCAAGGACTATCGGAGAACACATACATACCAAATACAGCAACTACTCCCACTGAGTATATCGCCACGGAACAGACAGCCGCTCCAACGGTCAGCTTCGAAGTAGCCACACATGAAAATAAAGAACACGAAAGACAAGGAAGGCTCCTAAGAGATTCATCTACAGAACCCGCACAAGATCTAACAACAATAACTGACACAGTAGTAGAAAAGGCCAAAGAAATCATGAACGCGACTACTGCTGAGAAACTAATGAACGTTATGAAGAAAACGAAATCGAAGACTGTGAAGAGATTGATATTGCTGCTGATACAGACATGTGATGATGACCATAACACTACTGCTGAAGCATCGAAAAAGGCTTTGCTCGACGCTTTAATGGCTGTTTCTCAGAAAGATATGGAAGATATTGCGAAGGAAGAAGAAACGACTGAAGTACCAACCACAGAGGCTAACGTACACAGAAGAGCAGATAGAGTGGAAAAGATAAGAGGAGACAGGAGAGGTAAAAGCTTAAACTTCGATCCTAGTGCTGTTAATTCTCTATCAAATGTAGCTCAGACTAGTACAACAGAGACTGCAAAAACGACAGAAGACTTGGAGACGGCAGCTACTACTTTCAGTCCACTAAGGACTAATTCTGCAAGTCGGAGAGGTATCAGAAAGTTCCACGTGAGGACCACGCCTTTGGAACCTAAGACCACGACTAAAGCACCGTTTGTAGATAGTCCTATAGCTGAAGCCAGGGTGGCAGCTCCTAGCGACACGAAAGCCACGTCGGATACCAGGGCCTTAGAACTATTAAGGTCACTATACTCTATCGCGGCGCGGTGGGGTTGAGAATATTCTAGAGATGTAAGGACTTTGTTTTTATATTTAGGGTTGAGTCTAGTGCGACATTTTTTATTTTGTAAATTCGACGTTTTTAAGAGATTTAAGTAGCGTTCTGATTTGTAACTTATCTTGAGGATAATGATCGGACAAAAATCGTTTTACATTCAAAGAAAAAAATAAATAAAAGTATGTCACGAATTATTTAGTTAGGTAGTAAATCCAAATTGTATCAAAACCCTTCACAAATGCAAGAATAAGTTACAATCTGAATCGACTAATGTAAAGTACTTCCAAACCCTAAATATAAATGTGTAAATGTGATTATGTAGATAGAATTATTCGTTATCAACCTAAATTCAAGATCATCAGTATTTTCACATACCATGAAAATCATGATGTTTTAAATAACAAGTTGTTTATTGAGCTATAGGCACGTTGTCCGTTGAACTAATTTGTAATCATTAATATTCGTTTTTAAATACAATGTTAAATATCAAAGTGTAAAACTAAAATTACTAGTAATTAATGATGAATAAAAAATGATCTCTTTAACTAATGGGGTACTAAATTTCTTAAATGAATAATAAATAAAATTAACCTGATGATTAACGAGTTAATTCTACAATACTCAATTGCTCAAAGAACATCCAATATAACACAATTCGTGCTTGTAGCTCTAAACAGCCTTTATAGCTTCTACCCTAGTAACTTATTACTTTTTGTTATTAAAGAAATTCGACTACATCTATAGACTTACGCATAGTATTGTAATTTATAAGCATCATCTTATTGTTTAATTTTCCTATTTTTAGGAAGCATACTAGGCTAGTATACTGAGTTACCTACAAAGCTATGTTTACGTTAATTATACATTTCGTTAAAGCCACAACATTCTGTAATATACTCGTTAGTGGACTATCTTTAGATGTATTATATGTTAGATATGTTTTTTTAGTAAATTTTTATATAAAAATATTGTTTGGTTTTCTTTCTGTTAAACCCTACCAGATATGAATATCATGTAGTTCATGATACTACGTCCCGCGCCTAGCGGACAGTGCTTCTGCTAAGCCCGAAGTAGCCCAAGAGTGTATAGCAATCCTTTTCCAGAAGTAACTAGAAACATCTAGACTTATTCAGTAGATGCAATAATTTAAAAAATGTTCAATTGAAACCACACTAAGACCCCACCATTACCCCACTATATTGACAACATAGTCCCCACCACATAGGCAAAATAAATATAAAAAACAAACTACAAAAAACCTTTAAATAATCCTTTAATAATGTACAAATGCACTTACACTTATACAAGATAAAATCGACTCTATGTCACAGACACAACATTACTTTTTCCCTACGTTCCTGTTGACGTATTTCTCAATATCTTTCTCGGTGACTTTATGCCCTGGTTTGAAGTAACTCTTGAGTTTCCTCTTCTTCTTCATCATGACCTTGGACGCTGCGAGGGCACCGCGACGTTGGAGGGATTCGAATCGGTCTCGGAGAAGGTTTGCTAGAAAATTAGGTATTATGTTAATAGTGTTTAGGTTGAGATTCGTTTGACAGGATCCAATCTAATAATCTAAAAAGGTCGCAAAAACAATGTCAACGATCGAAAAAGTTTTGTACTAACTGGTTAAAGATCAACTTACATTTCCCTATAATAGATAAACTAGTTTCATCTTAGTAAAACAGCGTAACTTTTGAACGACAAACAATATAGGCAAAAATATTAGTCTGTTGGTGAGTCCTCTTAGTGAAGCTATTTGATCGTTCCAAAGTGCAGATCTCGATCGAGAAGAACGAGCAAGAATCTTCATTTTACTACTATTACTAGCCTTATTAGTCTTATGTAAGAAGAAATTGAATTTCTTTGATTTTCTTTTTCTTTGACTGCACGGTTGGTGCGGTCGCTGGGCAACTGGCTGCCGTGCAACGTGTCGCGGGTTCGATTCCCGCACGAACAACTCTTTATGTGATCCACAAATTGTTGTTCCGGATCTAATGTGGGGCAAAGTTTTTTTTAAAAAAAATTCGATGTGCTATCTAACCTAACCTCTTTTAAAGAAAACGAAAACAAAATCAAAGAAGCACACATCCATAAGAAAGGACGCTTTTGCTTGACATTCTGTTCAGACATTTCATAGACAGTTGTACTTACTTGTAGACTGTACATTCCTCAAGTCTCCGCTCAGCTGCTTAGGGTCTACGAAGTCAGGTTCTTTGATGGGCGTCTTGTGAGCGCTGAGTGCGGGTAAAGCGGTCGCTTCAGTAGCAGCGCGCTTCTCTGCGCGCTTGGTTCTCTCTTCCGCCATTTTTTGTTCACGAGTCTGTATTGAAGACTGGAGTTTACGCAGCCTGAAAGAAACAAACAAACATTTTATTAAAGAAAGCTATGTTATAAAGACCAACTGACAACTTATTGGGCATTCACTAGTTATCAAAAATTGTCTTCTTAGTAACTTGTAAATAATTATTTCATATATTTTTTTAATCATTTATTTTTAATTCACCTTGGAACACTTGGAATTTCGCCTGAATAGTCCGTTCATACGCTTGTAGGTACGTTTACAAACATACGATATTTATTATTTCAATTATTTCATTTAAAATCAAAATCAAATGTTAAAAAACGTGGCCTTTCCCTATTATTTCTTCGGCGTCGGGAATGCGTTTTCAAATATACTGATTCACATGCAAATCAAACCAAGATCAGGAACAACGATGTTTGGACCACACAGAGAGATGTTTCGCACAGGAATTTATGGATCGCACAAACAGTTGTTCCGTACAGGAATCGAACCAGACACATTGGACAACAGTTGTACAGGTGCTGCGTCAACAGTGTAGGTAATGGCTCTAACTGGAAACTACACTGAAGATACATAAAATTTAGAAATTTGATTTAACTACTAACTTAATTTCAAATGCTAACAACTCACTTATAAAGATCAGTGATCTTCTTCTTGTCGATCTTCTCCCGTTTCAGTCTCTCTTTCTCCTCTAATCTCTCTCGCTGTTTCCTCCTGGCCTTGTGGTCTTTCTTCTTATTCTTAACCGGAGGATTCACTGCTTTGTATTCATTGTCTGTCTCGGAGCCTGAGTCGTTGGCTGGATTGTGTGGTTGAGGCAGGCCAGCGCTCATCTCCTCTCGCCATTGATTCTAGTAAAACCAAGACAATTTAAATTGAGTTTTAAGTATATTTAAATATATCACAGTGGCCCAGAGTTTAAGACTTTTCATACATGAGGATTCAACTTAAGAGCCTGGCAAGGACCAATGTGGCTCTTTATAGTTATGTACACTTCACATGTCTATTTAGACTCCACTCCATCCACTGAATAAAGTGAATTCCTAATTCTAAATTGAAATCACCAATCTACTTTGAGTAAGCGTGGTGATTAAATGCTTGAACATCTCTGTGTGAGAAGAAACCTTGTATAATGTATCACTTTAAGTTATATAGAATAAAAAAATAAAAAATAAACATTATACGATTTTAACAATGTACCTCTTTCTCTTGTTGGGTGACCCTGCGGAACATGCCGGTGGTCACTCTGTTGAGGTGTGCCTCACGCTTCATCATCTTCATTTCGTGCTGGCCAACCTGCTGCAGTAGCTCTTGGTGTTCCTGAAAAAAGCAAAGTTACAGTGGCGACATCTACCGCACAACAAGCAGCAACAGCACCGATCACGTTGGAGTTTCTACATCGCGGTATAACAGGTCAGGAATCGTTTAGAACAGGTACAAAATCTCGTCAAAAACCGTCGGGCAGTAGCCCGCAAGGCACGAGACTATGGTCGGATGATCCTCCGTTTTCAAAGGAGGATGCGTGAGGAACTTTACACCCTGTTCTCTCCTACCCTCCAAATTTCAATTAATATGACTATTCTATAAATATGTATATTTCGACCGATTTTGTATCGGTAACAGATATATATACTTTGTTGAAACTATTTTATTTCTTTATCAATAAAACACAAACAAATGTTTTTAAAAAAAATTCACAAAAGGATGTTTACTCAAACTTTAAAAGTATTTAATTTTTATATCTGATCATTACAAACAGAGCTCAAAGTTGCAGCTTAATAGGACAAAGACAGGCAATATATTTGTTGACACACACAATTTGTTCTACCGGCTGTGATGTATATGTGAAATTTTATAGTGCAGTACATACCCACAATTCTATGGAAAAATTCAACTGTAGGCAACACTTTCTTTTTATTATATAATAATCTGAATACTTTTACAAAATGTTGTCTAATAATTATTAGAAAGTTTTAATACTAACCTGGAATGAAGGATTATAACTGACTCCTGGATGAGGAGCTTCCACCGCAGCCCTAGTGACAACTGTCTTGGCTAGCGGAGGCTTTGGCCGGAGTCTCTGTGTTGGTAGCACATTGTGGAGTTGTGCTTCTGGTGAGATGAATTCATCCACTAACGTTTCTGGAATACCCTTGGCTTCTGGTACTGAGGAAGAAATTATTTTGTCAAGTCGATTGGAATTTTGACAACTATTATTCATATTCATATTCATTTAATCATTTGCAAACATGGGTACATAATATATAGATGTTAACAAAGTTTAGTTTCTCCATATTTTGCCTTCACTTGGCATGCAAGATATGTTGTAAAAATAATTATATAATAAAATTAGGTTTATTGAATTGAATTTTTAATCGTTGTTACAATACATTAATGTCAAAGAAACTAGAATTATTGATACCAATGAAGTCAAAAAATTAATGTCAAATTAGATATTTATATAATGTAAAAAGGTAAATGTCACACAAGCAATGTCAAATGAATAAAGTTAATTATTAATTATTGACCATAAGGATTCCCCTCAAGATAATCTTTCACACTATAGTACACTTTGTCATTAAGAAATTCTTTTAATTTCAATTTAAACATGTTGAGGTTCTCAATTTCTGAAATACAACGAGGCAATTTGTTGTATATTTTGGATAACATGCAAAACACACTCTTATTCATTAAGGCAGATTTACTAGGCATACTTCTAATTTTGCCTCTATATCTATTACTAGTAAGGTTATCAAACATCTGAATATTACTTTTAACAAAAACAGCAATTTCGAATATATATAGACATGGCAGGGTTAAAATTTTCAGCTTTCGGAAGTATGACTGGCAACTATCCGTTACCTTTAGTTTTATATTATATTGCTCGTATACACTTTTTTTGACACTTAAATGCGGCCTCACATTCTGTTGAGTTGCCCCAAAAAATTAAGCCATATCTTAACGTAGATGCTACGTAAGCATGGTAGGCAGTCACAGCTGTTGGCACAGTAACAGTTTTCCGAAGCATGTATAGCATGTATGAGAACGTATTCAACCTGGAACACACATTCTCCACATGTGCTTTCCAATTTAAATTGTGATCGACCATTAATCCTAAAAACTTTGCTACTTTAACTTCACTAATTGTCTTGGTTAAATATTTAATGTTTAAGTCTGATGACGGTACAGCTCTATTTCTAAATAACATTAGGTTACTTTTTTCTAAATTTATTAAAAGATTGTTAGATGTAAGCCAATCGACAATAGAATTTAGTGCAGAATTTACTTCGCCCTCAAGTGATATATAATTTTTATTAGAAAATACGGCGGTGCTGTCATCTGCAAAAAGAATCATTGGAAAAGTCATTGCGTTTGGAAAGTCATTAATATATACAAGAAATAAGAGTGGCCCTAAGACACTTCCCTGGGGTACACCAAACGTCAATTCTCTATAGCCCGAAACAAACTCAACTTCTTTTTTTGTGGACCAATCGAATTTTGTTATCACAGTGGCTTGTTCCCTATTACTTAGGTAAGACGTTATCAGACACAATGCATTACCCCTGATCCCATAGGCATAGAGCTTTTGTTTTAGTATGTCATGATCAACGTAGTCGAAGGCTTTGGTTAAGTCCATATACTTAGTCGGGTCATAAGTTCTGTCACAAACTTTTGATGTAATAACTTATACGCCTTTTGACAATTATTTAAAAATTATATATGAAATGAAAGGTCATTAAATGTACAATATAATTTTATTTACATTATTCGAAATGCCCTCCCCCATTTTGAACACATGCCCTTAATCTACGCGGCCAGTCATCGATCGCTGCACGCACCACATTCATATCTATGTCTGCCGCTGCTTTAACCAGAGATGCTCGGAGACTCCAAATTCGGGTGAGGTTTAGCACAGACTTTTTCCTCCAAATATTGCCATATCTTGTAGTCCAGTGGGTTTAAATCTGGACTAGAAGAGGGCCAGTCTTCATGCCGGATGAAGTCAATTCCACGAGCGATCAACCAGTCTTGCGTACTTCGTGCCTTATGAGCCGGTGCAGAGTCCTGTTGGAATATCCAATGCCTGTTCCTGAACATTGTCTGAGAAAGAGGTTCCACTATGTTTGTTAGGACAGTATTTTGATAAACTTCGGCACTAGTTCTCACACCTTTTTCACAGAAAAACACCTCAGTTACGCCTGAATATGAGACTCCAAGCCAAACCATGAATGAGGAAGGGTAATGCCCACGCTGGACCCTCGCAATACGCGCGCTTGCTTCTTCACTGCTGTGGGCATACACCTTATCATTTTGTTTGTTAAAACTTTCTTCAATAGTAAAAATTTTTTCATCCGAAAAAAGAATTTCGCGGTATTTTTTTCCCGCGTACCGTCGTAGCAAAGCGCGGGATCTGTCTAGCCTAATTTTTTTTAAACGCTCGTTCAAAAAATGTCCTGTCTTTTTACGATAAGCTCGTAGTCCCAGGTCTTCATTTAGTACTCTTTTAACAGTGGTTCTGCTTAGCCCCATCTGCAGAGCTAGGATTTTTTGTTTACGTACGGGATTTCGTTCGATTCGCGCCTTCACTGCTTTGATGACCTTATGTGTCCGAACTGTGCGAGGTCGGCCGCTTCTCTTACGATCTTCGAAGCTTGACTCTTCGGTGTATCGTTTGATAGTACGATAAACAAACCGTAACGTTATTTTCAAATTTTGAAGAATATTGAAAATGTCTTTTGGCGCGTAACCACAGCGGTGCAACGCGATAACCGCGATTCTGTCTTCTTTATTCGACCACTCCATATTTAAAAATGAATAAAAAATAATTTCTTTTTTATTTTCTACAAGCGCGAAAGTTCTATTTTTAAAATAAGTCGAAGAATTTCTGGCCAGTAATCGAAAATTAAAAATATAAGGTTTTGACAGAACTTATGACCCGACTAAGTATAAAGCACAAACAGGTGTTTTATTATCAACATTGACAGTTACCATTTTTAGGAATTCATAAATTGCTATGATAATATTTTTGCCTTTCCTGAATCCCATTTGTTCGTTCGCTAATATATTATATTTTTCAAAGAAGTTGGTAAAGTTATTATAAATAATTTTTTCTAAGATTTTTGAGAATATTGGAATTAGTGCAATAGGTCTGTAACATGACATACTTTCTTTGTTGTTTTTTTTAAATAGTGGCTTAACAATAGTTTTTTTAGTAATTTTGGGAAATGGCCGTGATACAAACAAAGATTGTAAACATGACATAAAACCGGACTTATAACATCATTGACCTCCTTTAATATCTTTGTTGAGATTCCATCATAACCTGTGCTATTTGTATTCTTAAGTAATTTTATTGTTTTAAATATGTCAGGGGGAGTAACAGGATTAATAAATATTGAATTATTATTATTAGAATGCTTATGTGTCATCTTAAATTTAAAATTATTATTAGAATTAAATGTCAGAGGTTTTACTTGGTCAATGAAGAAGTCATTAAATTTATGAGCTATGTCAATAGGGTTTGTTATAATTTTTCCGTCAATATTAATTTGAGTAATGTTATTTTGTGATATGGACATCCTACTTCTGTTAATGACGTCCCAAGTAGCTTTGGATTTATTAAACGCAGTATTAATATAATAGGTGTTTTGTGATTTTTGTGTCTGTTTAATGATTCGATTCAATCGTTGTGAGTATATTTTCAAAGTAGCCTTATCATTTTGATTCTTTGTTCTCCTATATATCCATAGCAAATCGCGTTTTCTTTGAGAACAGTTTTTTATCCCTTTACTAATCCATTTTGGTCGAGAATTTACTGATGATGATGATAGCAATTTGAAAAGATTATAATTCAATATTCTTTTCAAATTGCTATCATCAATCGTTTTCAATGAGTTTTGAAGGGCACGGCATATATTATATGGATCAAAAATCATATTCATTTGTTAAAAAACTAGCTGTAAAACGATTATGAAGTATATATGTAAGTGATACATTTTTTTTATGTATTACTAGCTACTCTACTCTACTCTCGCGCGGTTTCACCCGCTGCTCCGCTCCATTTAATCGTAGTGTGATGCCTATAGCACTCAGGAACATTGTAGCTGTCTATCAGGGAAAGAATTTTGGAAATCCGACCAGCGGTTCCAAAGATTACCCCCAACATACAAACTTAAAAATTTTACAATTAGTCCTAAACCTTCAATATTCATATGTCAAAATATTTTTTAACTATGCTAATAACAACAGGGTGTGTATTGAAGGTTCATTAGGTAGTTATACACTTATTCATGAATTACAATGTACAAGTAACTGTTTCTCAAATATAATCTTCAAGAACAAATTCAATAATTCTATTCTTTATTTAAATCTACTTACAATCTTGCCCCCAAAGGTCCTTATTGAAGTTCTGTCTAACTTGTTTAGCCTTTCTTTTCTTGTCTCTAGCCAGTTTCCTATTCTTCTTGGCTTCTTGTAACTTCCTCTCAAACACTCCTTTCTCTGCCAACTTCTTTTGTTTCAACTTGCTTAAGGCTGTTGGTTTGAAGCCAATCGGATTTACATGGTTACGTTTTGCATTTGGATCTTGAACCTGAAAGATTAGGTTTTATTTATTTAAATAGATTAACATACTGTATTGAATTCATGTCATAACAATACTATATACTGGCCAGTGGCATTAATATTGAGATTACTGATAACTAATAATAATCCAATAATACTAGGTACAACGGCGGCCTTATTGCTTAACACATTCAGTGCCCCCGACGCGTATGTGCGTGCGAGGAAACGCACATACGCGTCGGGGGCACTGAATGTGTTAAAGCGATCTCTACCTAATTTACATACCATGAAATATATTGCTGTGAAATTAATTATTATAAGCTTTATTAGCACTATTACTTTTTCTATTGAGTCATATATGTATTTGTTCTAAGTTATATATGTTCATATCATATCATATCATTTATGTGCATTCCACAAAGTGTTTTATAAATTTAATGTTCTATGTATGTTATTGAGTTAATAATTTCACACAAGTCGATCCGTGTACATGAGTGTACAAAATTATTATTTAATCCCTTCATTATGTTAAAAAACAAGTTACCTTAGATGTGGGCAACAATACTTCGAAGCATTTTGGTAATTCCTTCAGCTTGGCCCTTTTCTGTAATTTGTGTGAGAGTGGCTTCTTGTCCTCGACCTCGTCATTGTCACCAGCAGTATCTACCACGAACAGCTCACTGTCTGGTTTCGCCTCAAACTTACTGCAAAATTTAGCCGAAAATGTTACGAAATTTTGCCAGAATGTTAATAATATGGGAAACAGAGTTTTTATTTAGCAGATCTGCTAATGAAACGTAAAACAGTTAGATAACTGTAACAATACAAAAAGTAATGATCGTTTTATATAGTTCTCTATGGAATTTTTAAAAGGAAGTAAATAACTATTAATACTAACTTGTCAGTTCTAAATAACGTGTTGACTTTTTATATACATTGAGTCATTATAAAACGACTGACTGACTATTGTTTCAATATTTTTTGAAGAAATAAACACAAAAATAGTTGAGCACATGATGTAAACATAACCTCACCCCAATCGTTCTTCCAATCTCTGATCCTCTAAGAACTCCTCGACATCGCGAATATCACTGTATTTTCCCCACGCCTTCTTATTCTTCTTTGAAACACGCTTCTTCTTTTTAACGACAGACATTTTTAATAATTATTTTATATTTTTACGCTAAAATGTGTAAGACACAGTTGACGTCTGTGTCACACGTTTTGAAAGGAACGTTTCGTTTATCACAACACGTGAACTCAAGTTTAACGCTGATTACTATAAAATTCTCGTTGTATTTGTTTTTTAAATAAAATCTTATGGAATCTATAAAACTGTAGTAAAAATACGTGAATAATTATGTGTATTTTTTATTTCGTATTTAACTGATTAATAGTTGTGTTTGTTAGTAGAAGCAGAAGTAAATATTGTATATGCGGTAGTTGTTAGTAGTCTGTAAAGTGCATTGCATGAAACGGAACGATTGGAACAAATCCATAGATAATACATATACACATGTACTACCTACGCACAGTTCTATGAAAGTAAAATACCGCAATACGTTTACTGTTTAGGTTTAAAAAAAAAATTTACTTCATCTACAGATGGATACCCATTTACCTGGGAAGTATGGACTATGCTTTCGATTATCATAGAACAGATTAATCATAGTTACTCACCTACCCCACTTACATATTGTACGGTAGATACCTGCTGCCCAATGATATTTACAGATTAAGTACTATGAACTATATAGCTCGATATGATATTTTAGATTTTTAGATAGATTTTGAATATAATAGGTACTCACTGAATTTTTTGCACTGATACGTAGATCCACTTCCTTCACAGAAGTACGAAGTTTATTTATAATTAAGGATAGGTACCTATATAACATCGTATATACCTAGATATATTTACAACATAATTTTTATTAGTGCCTACACATATGTAGGTATTTGGACTTTCAAATAATTTTACAAGATATGTAAATGTACCTATTCGTTATAGAACTGGCGGTGGTGTACCTACAATACTTTATATTTTCTGTAAAAAGCTTGGACCATAATAGGTATCTATTATTGCTCAGTTTTAATAAGTCGCATAAAAAGAAATCGATCCCTATATATAAGTACATTTTATAGCTACAGCACCTTTTTTGTGAGGGGAAAATCATCAAATGAATTGTCTCGCCCAGGGTGAGGCGAGAGGGAGTGTCAGACTCTTACCTGACTAAAAACCCTCCTGTTTCTTCGCCTGCTTTAGGCCGAGGCCGCAGTACCTTATTGCGCTTGCCCGGTAGACCTGGCTGAACATCGACCCTGTAGGGCCCACCTGTGGTGGTCTTTTAGCTCTTTGAGGCGTGCGCGGAACGCTACGCGCCGTACGCATACGTCTGGCCCTGATCGGAAGGCGATGTACCCTTGCTCGCAGATCCGTGCTTACGGTGGCCGGAGATCATCGCTCGATCCCCTACACATGGGAGTGATTCACGCGCTCCGCCTAGCTTTTAAATTTTATTTGGCCTGGCGGCCATGCCAATTTGTTAGTGGTCGCCAATTTTATTTGTATTTCGCTAAATTAATTGTAGATAGGTACGAGACGATGGAGGGCGCTGTGCACCATTTTACACCGTGCTGCGGCTCCTGCGCGTATTTTACTTTTAAGTAACGAAAAATAAAACAACACATCTATAAAATATCTACCTCATATCTTTTATATTTATTTCAAGGCACCAAAAATAACATTGAGATCTGTCTCATCAATAAATAGGTTCTGTTTAGTGTAAAACAAATATCTATAGAGGATTTACTTAATATATTTATTACTACAACATCCTTAAAATTAGGTAACAAAAATTAACAGCTACGCAGACATCGAACTAATAAATGGCATTTAACTATTTGGTATATTCTACTTTTTCTTTTTTTCTTCTTCGCAATCTTCTTCTTCTTCATGTTCGGCTTCACCTTCTTCTTCTTCTTCTTCTTCCTCCTCCGGCTCGGCTGCCTGCTGCTCTTCTTTCGCTGGCGCTATAGACAGAAGTAACTCTAAAACTTTCGTCACAAAACAAAATCTTTTTGAACTTGAATTGAAATATCATTAAATTAATTAATTAATTCAATATGTGCACTTCCAAATAATTAGCGTGATATAGTAAGTAAATAAATGAATAACAAAATATTAAATGAATAAATAAGTGTTATATGGCATAAATAAAATAATTTTACAAGGGCCATAACCTTGGTGTGTAATGGGAAAAGCAAAGGAATTATGAACTTACTATGAGGACCTACCTCTTGAATTTCTTCTACTACCATCCGTAAAATCCGAATTGTTTCGCATAATTACTTTGACTTGACAATTTGTTATCCTTGAAAAAGCTATCTAAATTAATATAAGCGTCGGGGAATATCTTCCCAACATTTTTAGCGACTACTACCTTAGTTGGCTTAGCAACTAAATTGGCAGGCTTAGATACTAATTTAGTAGGCTTATGAGCTACTTTAACCGGTTTAGCAAATGACTGAAACGGATTTGTGGCTAGTTTTTGAGACTTAGCCGGTAAAGGTTTGAATCTAAACTGGTTAAAAGCGGATTGGAACGGCTGGAACTGGAAATCGATGGGTTTCTCGAGTTCGATCTGGTTTGGTTTCGAATGCAGTGAATTTTGGAGTGATGTGATTGCGTTTGTTATGAATGCATTGCTGTCAATGGGAGCGTGAATTGATTCTGGGGCTGTGGTGAGCAGAGGTTCTTCGTGGAGGTGCAAGGGTTGTTCGCTGGTCACTTGAATGGGATCCTGGTCCGAGCTGGCCCACTCTGAAATATACGAAATATCTCGCTTTACGAATCTCCATGATTCGTTGACGAGCCATGAAACAAAGCCATAGGTTTAGCTAATGTTGGAGTGCCTACAATATTCTCAGTAGTATAGAAGTAACTAAGGAAGTTAGCTTATTAAAGGAAAAATAGAAGCATGATATTAGGAAGAGAAGACGTGCAGTGAAAAATATAAAGTGCATGGGAGAACTAAGAGTGTCGAATACTTACCAACTGCTTTCGTATAAATTGACTTTTAAATTACGTAATAAAATACATATAAGTACTTAAATAATTTACTTACTACTACATTAAAAGTGCAAAATCAATGAATTTGACGAAACTTCCAAAAGTATTGTTAGTTTTAGGAAATATCTAAAGGTTTTTTGCTACGTGTTGTTTTATTATACCTTTATTAATTCGACATACCATAGGTACCTTGTTGGAAAACCAAAGAATATTTTTATAGGGACCTAGTTGCCAGAAATTAATGTTTAAGATTTATTATTAATCCCTCTTATTATGAGTTTGTCTAAAGACATGGTACCACGTTTTAAAACCCACTGTGAGTGTTATAGGGAGGGTAGGTAGGTGTTAGTCAAGTCAAGTATTAAGTGAGATGTCAAGTAATAGTCAGAAGTAGTCACAGTCAAGATAGTCATCAGTCAAGATCATATTGAAAAAACAGAAGTAACAAAAACAATATTTTATTTTTTCACACTTTCTGTCGACACTATGGCTTTGAGACATCGCACTTAATTATGATGTTAGTATCAAAAGGAACTGTAACGTAACTTGCAACGCATCAAGCAACATCATGCAACATGTTGCAGTAACTACGCAGCAAACTGCGTTCCAACCGCTACTTGGTAGCGTTGCTAAGTTACAAGTTTTCGTTTACCATTTTGGCATCACCTCAAAATATTTTAGCAGTAAGTATAACTCAACAGTTACACATTCAAAATAGGAACCACTTGGGACCTTTGAAGTATAAAAAAGTATAAAAATGGAAAACATAACAGATATCACATAAATCGATGTTGAAGCACTCCTAACTATAAAAAGAAAACAATTTATTTACATCGTAGTAGACGTTACTCTGACTACTTGTAAGCTAACATTAGAATAGGATATGCAATGTGTGAAATAAATATTTTAATGCTAAAGTACCCTATCCTAATATTAACTATAGCTAATGTTCTGAGATTCTCGAACTTTTCAACTTTGTTGATTTTGTGTAATGAAAGGAAATGAGTTCGAAAAAGGAAGAAGAAAAATAAATGGTGTTGGAAAGATGAAAATGAATCAGATAATAATGAAAAAAGAAATACAGAAAATTTAGATAAACCAAAAAAATATGAATATGATAGAAGAAGAAAATAAAATTAAATATGAGGAAAGGGAAATTACAAACGAAGAGAAAGAGAAAGGACAGAAATGGGAACAAAAACCAACAAACCAAAAAACTCCTTCGAATCTCAGAACTCAGACACCTAAAACCTTATTGTTACTAGTGGTGGTAGTCCGACTGTAGCTGATAGTATTCGTGAGCGTCCTGTTCCTGGCTCTGAGGAGCAGCCTGGTACTGCTCGGGCGCCGTACCTTCGTGAGACGAGTCCTTGTGCTGGCCTCCAAGTCCAGCCGCTGCTGCCTTCGCTGCGGCTGCAGCAGCATTAGCCTGAGCTTGTTGAGCTGCCGCCTGGAAGGAGAATGAGATTGATAAGTATACAACTAATGATGAACTGAATGATGATCAAACTGAAGTTGGAACTTAAAAGTAAAATTTCAATGATAACTATTCTGATGTACTAGGTACTGATTCTGACGAAGTCTAGAAAAATAATAGAGAAAATATTCAGGATTTAGGTCAAAAATGGTATCGAAAACCAAAAAATATGGAAAAGAAAGAAAGATTAATGAGATCAATCAGTTTATTCCAATGAACAAAAGAAAGAAATAAATAAGTAGTCTCCCCGCCACGTTTCAGAAGACCATGGAAATGGTAATATCGTCGATAATGTACGCCCTTGAGTTCCGTTGCGCTTCCTGTTCAGGAAAACAGCATAGGTACGTGATTATTCCTTACACCAAAAAGATATCAGTCGTGAAGATGACTGACTTACTAACTGCTACAAACTTAAATTCTGAACCAAAATGCGATTGGAATTTGAAAATGAAATTTCGTGACACACATCATCAGCCTACAAGTGTTCACTACTGAACAAAGGCCTCTTCTCACACGAAGATTTGATTTGATTTGAAGAATTAACCACTTCGCTTGCTCAATGCAGATTGGCGGTTTCAGATTTCTTCACTATATTGTCCTTCACTGCATGTCAGTGGTGTCTGAATAATCATACATTTTACTAGGTTTCGAAGCCTCATTCTCATGCATAAGAAGCGGGTGGCATTCACGGGACATATTCTAGATTTATAATCCAGATCAAATTCCTAATCCCGTTTTTAAACTACTCAAAGGAGCACGCTAAAAGGACTAAACTCATAATGATCATTTGTGCGTACCTGAGCCTTTCTCGCTGCCGCCTGTGTGGCCTCGAAGTCGATCCTGACTCCATGAAGCTGCTCCTGGAGAGCATGCAGCCTCTGTCTGGCAGCTCCTACCATGGCGGTCTGGGCACCGAGCTCTCCTGCAGCTTGAGAAGCTGCTTCGTTGGCGTTCTCTGATGTAGCTTGGGCAGCGTTCAAGGCAGCTTGGATAACGTTCACCTGGGGAATTAAAAAGGTTGAGTTAAGATCCCCACCTTTTTTGAGGTGGCAGGAAAGGGGAAATCATCTTATGTTAAAACCAAATCGTTCTTCGAGCGTGGACCGTGGTATCATTAGTCAAGCCCAAGAGAGTCTTTTTTGTCTATACGGAAACAAATATAAATAATCAGAAAACAATGTTCTCACGCCTCAATAATACTAAAATTCTATCAACTCCATACGATTTCCGAAGAAAATACAGATCATCATAATAAAATAGAGCATGTATAATGATTATTATCAAACACTAAGAGCGAAAGTTTCAAGTTCAATGTACAATCATCAACCAAGAACCGACAGGAAGGCAGCGTATTGCTTACAATGTTAAGATCATATTGCATCATGTGACCACAAGATTATCATTACCATACTGAATTTCTTTATAAACTAATAAACAGGAGAAGAAATTCGACTGTAATACGGAACCAAGAAAATACCTGACATAATTAATATGAAAGTTTGTGAGAATAAAAAAGCAGCTGTCTCCAATAACACAGGCCTTGGACTTTCGACAGCAATTCAAATAATATTTAAAACACAATAAAGTAAAATGGACCGGAACGTTCTTATAATTAAAACGTGTCGCAAACAACTGAAGAACGATAAAGTTTGCTTGCAAAATATTTCGATCGATACCGTTTCGGTTTCTTGATTGGGTTTCTTAAATTCTTGCGAACTTGGGATGGAGTGAGCGATTCAAGGACGAGAACTGAAGTAGCTGTTTTTTTAACAGTATAATGCATAGGTATTGTAAGATTCTTATTTATTTTTAATCCATAGCAATATTAAAGATAGTAGGATCAACTAAACGCTTAATTTATGGATGTATGCGGTTCGCACAATGATACAAATAAGATGAAAGACCTCGACAAAGAGACAATCGCCGACGCCGATATGTACCCGAATAAAGGAGAAAGAAATATTAATTATTTCAATTTCAATGCAAGAATCATAGGTGACTCCATACCAAATCTTCAATAGTTTGTGACAGACCACAGTTTTTTCGGACACATACGTTCATTGCTCCAAGGTTACTCTTTAGGAGAAAATATCATCAAATGAGGTCTACGTAGTAGGTATCATCGACCCTACAGGGACTCATCTGTGATGATGATGATAGTCTCCAATATTACTTCAAGCTTTATAAATACTACAAATTACGTTACAAATATTCACCGTAACTAGATTATTGAGTTACAATAACAAGATCTTTGACAAATTGCAGAAATTGCGAATAATGTAACAATAGTAAGTGCAACTGTTATATAATCATCGGATTATGGTAATCGGTCAACTGTTGTCTAGACCAAATTAGTCAATACGCAGTCTTTACTGGACCATTCAATGAAACGTAATTTTTGCTAAAACACGATATGCTAAAGTTTTGCTGTTTTACATAATCCAAATAAGTGACTCAAATACCATTAACGTAATTGGGTATAAAATCTGTCACCCAAATATTCTTAGAGCTCAATTTGTAAACCAATATGGCCACGGTTTTTGAAAAGACAATGTATCTCTATTTTTTTTTTCATTAAAAACCTTTTAATACTTTTATTGAGCATAAGTTACCTGATTTTGAGAACCACCAAGTAATCTAATAATCTACTATTCCTCTATAAGTTTACTTTATCCAGAGAACCACTATTACAACATGGTTAGTAAACAGATCGCCGACTCTTTCTCAAGATTAAACTGTTGCAAGAACTAAGTTTTTCGTACCTTACTTAGTTTAGTATTACTAAACACCATAACATGAAGTTAATCAATTACATGCAATTGCCGAGTTCAAATTAATAATATGTTTTTTCTTACATTTTGTCACGTAATATTTTGAAATTGAATTGCAATTATTTTGCGCGGGAATTGTGTACTGGTTGCGTTCATTTTGCAGAATTGTTTGACGTTTGTCACGGTTCATGTGCGCTGTCTATAGGTAATCAATTTTCTGTGTAGATACAGAACTTTTTTTGTAAGGAATAGGGTCAAGGTATTACTTTTGTTTAATGTATGTAGGTTACTATCAATAATATGATAACTTTCTAATAAATTGTCATCATCATCATCAAGCACATTATTAAGAAATGTGTTCCTTATTCGTTTATTTATTTGAAAACAAAATTGAAAACAAGAATCAATATTAATATTTGAAGTGATGATAAAATTGTATGTTTTTCTGTCATGGCCGCCGTCTTTTATGAAATGTATCAAAGAAATTGATATGGATCATCGGATTCAATAATGTACAAGAACAAATCTAAGCGTCACGACGTTATATAACGATAATGGGGTATAACACATTTCTATAATAGGCTTTTAGCCTCTTTGTCAACATGTTTAGTTGTGTTACCAGTATCTGGCACACAATGTTGGTTATACCACTTACTGCAATTGTAACAAAACGACCACTGAACGATCAATTCATTTCCCAAAGCAAGTGGACCGAACGATTGCGTAAGTCAGTAATTATAATTGACTTTCTGATATCTTTCTTCAATGTTTTATTATTATTTTTTCGTAAAAGTCATTTGTAGCGATTTACACAACGAGTTTTTTGTACGTTTCGTCGTTATTTGGATTTTTCCATTATTTATTTTATTCATTTATTTGAAAAAAAAATCACTTTTAGTGTTACAGTTGCGTTACTGTTGTAACAAAAACCTGTCAGCGTGGCTCCAGTTTTTTTAATTAGTTCATTGCCAAAAATCGTAAACTGTACTGGATAGGTTTGCTCAATATTGTTATAAAAATTATTTGCATTTTTTGAGTAACGAGCGCTGTTTGGCCATGGCCGGGAAGTGCGTTTCACTTGCGATTGCCATTTTTATTGCTTTGGAAAAAATGGTTTGAATGTGTTAAGCTTGGCATAAACAAGCGTTGTTGTAACCGATAGCTAAGTGACACCTACCTGGTGCATAGCTTGCTGGGCGGCGTTGGCAGCAGCTTGCGCGGCTCTTTTAGCTTGTTGCAGCTGCATCTCTTCGCCCTGGAGCCCGACCTTGGCGTCTCTGACTTGCTGTTCCAAACCTGAGAGGATGACCTGTTTACCGGCGAGGGCAGCCTGGGCCGTGGCACTAGCTTGGGCAGCAGATTGGGCGAGAGTGTTCTTAGCTACGTAGGCTGCTTGGTAACCAGCGGCAGCTTGGTTTCCGAGGGCAGTCTTAGCTTGGTTGGCTGAGCCCACAGCGATGGTTCTGAGACCACTGCCCTGACTGAAACCTTTCTTGCCGCCATTGCCGCCGCTGGCTGCAGCTTTTACGTCCTGGATGTAGGCGTCGTAGTGGCTGGCTGACTCCTGGGGCTCCTGGGCCTGTGGGGCTTGCTGTGCCTGTTGGGCTGCGTGGTCGTAGTCGTATTCATACTCGATGGGGGAGCTGTCGCGGTTCGCTGGAGCTGCAGCCACCAGGGAAAGTGTGCCTGGAACAATTCAAGCGCCTAGTTATTAAATGTGATTGTCAATTAGGCCACATTGTACTGGCCTTCATAATATGCCGTTTCTTGTAACAAAATCTTTTTCGTCTTTACTTAATAAAAGTAAAAGTGCAAGTGACAGTTTTAGTACACAATAAAAAAAACATTTATTTTGTTAGCTATTAGCAGTTTCAAATAAAGACTTTGGTGAAAGGACGAATTTTGGATCAACAAAAGAATGTTAAAACTTTAACCCGATTGAACCGGATTATTAAGAAGTGGATTATATGCTCAATTACCTACAATAATTACTATCTTCGATGCTATTAATTACGGAACAATAAATATAATGGTGTAATTCTTAGTTAGAAATAAAACTTTATAGGTAAATCATGTACTGTGAAATATTAGCCACATCCCAACGTGGTATTACAAAGCGTAATAGCACCTATCTAATTTTTAAGCAAACGATCATTGTCCAAAAATTTTCAGAAAAATGAAGCTAATGATTATTGTAAGTCTTTTCGAACGTCAAAACTATAATGTTAATTTTCTATAACTTTTAGCGTTTTGCTTGGCCGGTCAACCCTGGTTATTTTTTCATCATCTGTATTAGGTACATCAGCATTAGATATCCGCTACTGCAAAGATTTGCTTATAACTGCCAAACATTTGTATCCCGTATTATTAGCTATATATTTAATTAATTAATGATTAACGTTCATAGATACAAACAGTAACTGGTTATGTTAACTAATAGACCAAGTATTTAACCTGCTCATGCGTAAAACTAACCGAGTGAATGCGTAAAACGATCTTGCGTGAGGAAACGTGCGCAGGCGCACTTCCTAACGCCCGAATTGCTATTTACATTATTTCTAGCTTATATAAAGACGATAACGTGATATAATTGTATGTAATTATTTTTAATTTTTGATATATAACTTCTATAATTACTATTGAACGATTACCTGGTACATTGTAATTATTATGTGAGTGGATTAGTATAAAAATTTAGAAGACCGATTCAGTTGTCTGATTTTAAAATCTTCAAAACTTTTACTGAAGACATGGGTTCATCTAAAATCAATTTATTCTTAATAAATTGGGAATGGCGATGAAGGATAAGAATGTCAAAATTGACGTTTCAAAACTTGGATATTTTACTATAGATGTCATCCACGTCGTCTAACGTAAACATGGGAGGAGCTCCTTAAATGGATAATTTTATTTATCACTGAACTGAACATAGGACGTTTTATAGTGCTATGGTTTAGTCTTAAAGCCCCAAACTGTAACACTCTGAATTTACTTTGTTGTCCTAACCAATAAGTCATTTTAAATAGAGAAAGAGAAAGAATATTCGACACCAGTTTTTTTTGGAGATCTCGTTATTCAGGCACACAAAATTGTCTCAATAGGATTTTAAATTAGATAGATATATTTAAAAAATAACATTTTCAGTATATTTCAGTTGAATAATAAAATAGTTCAAGCGGTGAAACCCTCGTGCGGTACTGAAACGTTATTTTCCTCGGTTTTCATTATTTACATGGAAATGTTGCGGAAACGGATATGACACGCAGTTTTAATGCACTGTTATGTATTGGCAGCATACAATACATATTGGCGAAATTGTATTTATGATTTTGTGATTCTATTTTTAGTCGTTATTTTTTTTTTATTATCTAACTCAACTTAACTTCTTAGAAAAAGGTGTGTGTCACATCACAAGATGTTTTATTATTCTCATTAAAAAATAAAATTTAAAAATTGTCATGTTCGAACCGTAAATTTGTAGTGTCGGTGCAAAGCATAATAAAAAAAATCTAAGGTTTTTTAAATGTCAATATATTTTCTGATAATTTTATTGTGTTAATTCTTAATAAATATGTTAATTATTTGGATTATTCGCATAGATAGTTATTCGGATTAAACTTTAATCTATTTTAAAAAAACATTGAAAGTTTTTAACTTTTTTTTATCGTCGTCACGAAATTAATTTTAAAATTGTATTTCAATTCCATTACTCAATATTAAAGACAGACTACAAGAAAAAAAATCAAATGTTACTTAACTGTCCAAAAATATATTTACTTAATAATAAAATAAAATTAATAATTTAAACAATACTCACCCATACATAATAATACAGCTGAAAACGTCTTCATTTTCGCTACAGTCGAACTGAAACGACACCGTTACAGCACTTAATTTAAATCCAATAAATCTATTTAATTATTAAAGCAATTTAAAAAAAAAGCTCAAAGTGAATTATGTATAAATAAAATAAATATTATTTTTATCACATTAATAATTTTTGAGAAAAATCTAGCCAAAAAATTTAGCACGAAATCACACGAAAATCTAGTTGGAATTAAAGCACAAAATTCACTGAATACCTTCCAAAACTTTCACAAATGTTTAATGTACTTTTGGTTTAGGCTGGGGGGTAGGTTGGCCCCGCTATGCGGTCTGTGAGGCAATGTACACTCCGACAAAATTCACTTGTATTTATAGTGATTAGTCTACGCCGCGAGAGAGCAACGGCTACCTCGGACCTCTATAGAGCTGCTCGCTGGAAAATTGAAAGAAAGGCGGGCTATTGTGTTCTTCTATTAATTGTTACATCCAATCTATACTTTGTTAAGACATTTGTAAGTTGGAGATTTAGAGGAAAAATTGTCGTTAAATTATTTTTTTAAACAATAGAGTTGTAGAATTGGGATTTCTTGGCTAATTTAGCTGTCGGCTAACCGTAACACTAGGCGAAGATGATTTAAATCAAGCAATTAATATGAAACTAATTTTCTTTACTTGTCAGTGTAGGTATCTTGAACCTTTATTAAAGGTTATGAAAACTTAAAGTTATAAAATACGATTCATTATCTATAGATCTCAATGGCCTATCTATTGATTTTTTTGATATTTAGACAAAGGTTATGTAAATACTCTTAAAACATAAATAACTACAATAAAATTATCAGTTTTTTTTTTCAATTCGACCCGTATGCTTATGTTAAAATATGATTTTTCGGCACAACAGAGATTTTTAATCACAATAAAATTGTGTAGTATGTATTATCATCTCTTAATTTATCCGTAGCAGTTTCGTCCACAATGTTGGGGTGCAAGCTGGAGAAAAATAAATTATATCATTGTCCACAAAGGCGCCCGTCACCATGTCATAATGTTTGGTCAATCACATGCACTCGCCGCGGCGTTGCTTGCACTTTGCAATTCAGAGGAAATTTTGCCATTGAGAAATTGTGGTCTTACCACCTAGGCTAGGCTAGGCTAGGCTAGGGTTGGGAAAAGTAAATACATTTATTATAATAGCTTTTGTTACAATGCTTTTTTACGAGATAGGTCGGCAAATGAACTGACTGCTGATGGTAAGCAATCGGCGCCGCCCATGGACACCCGCGCCACCAAAGGAGTTACGAGTGGAAAGGAATTTTGTGGATAAGGGTTACGGATATTTTAGGATTAGGAAGAGATGGTGAAAAGGGAGGGCTTGGGCCTCCTGTAACCTCACTCACACAACGAAACACAACGCTGTGGTTGTATCACGCCGATTTTATGTGAGGCCGTGGTATTGCTCCGGTCGAGCCGACCGATTCGGGCCGAAGCTTCGCTCTCCCACACTTAAATACGCTTTTCAATAATTCACATGTAATTACCATTAATTACATTATACCATTGCGAGGACCAGCTAGAAGATACGGTGGCGGTATGCCCTGCCTGGGCTGAGCACCGCCGTGTCCTCAGGGAAGTGATCAGCGGCGGCGACCTCTCGCGCCCGGCCTTAGACGAGGCCATGATGCGGAGTGACAGGAACTGGGATGCCGTCTCCACCTTCTGTGAAGCAGTTATGCTCGCAAAGAGGGAGGCGGCCCGCGTGAGGGAGCAATCCTCCTCCACACGCCCCAGCCGCCGCAATAGGCGACATTCCGGGCGTCCGGGATCGAGAGATGATTTACGGCCACCGTAAGCGCGGGTCTGCGGTCGGCGAGTAAGGGCAGCTCGCTGCCCGACCAGAACCAGGCCCACCGTACGGCGCGTAGCGTTCCGCGCGCGCCTCAAAGAGCCAATAGACCACCACAGACGGGGCCCTATAGGGCTGATGTTCAGCCGGGGTTGCGGGGTAAGCGCAATGAGGCACCGCGACCTCGGCCCAGAACAGGAGAAGGAACAGGGGGGTTTTTAGTCAGTAAGAGTCTGACACTCCCTCCCCGCGATGATTTTCCCCTCACAAAAAAAAAATGTAAGATACCAAATATTCGCCCAGTGCTAGTACAGTGTAGTATCTGAAATAGTTGCCGAAAAGGACAAAGTCTCCTCATAGGTTTATTAAAAAATTTAAAGACAACTGCTTACTACAGGATCTATTTCCAGGCTTAATCCCATAAAAACAGAAAGATTTCATCTCTTTTATTCTTATTAGCTCCTCATTAATTATCTTTTCGTTTTTGTTAATCATTTATTCCATTTCACTGCAAGCCTACGAAGTGAATAGGTCTGCAGATTTTCGCGCCATTGCTCATAAGTTTTTAACCTTTTTGGTACACTTAAATGAGATTGTCAAATGGAGCATGGAGATGGAGATGGCGTTGTTAAAGCGAGAAAGAAACAAACTTTAAAAGTATTATAACCTTATTATCTATGCCTTTAAAGTATTTTGGAAAACAATTATTACAACTTTTCTAAAAAAATGTTCTTACTACAGACAGTGGCCCAGACAGCAAAAGTACCTTCTACTTTGTTGCCTGGGCCACTGCGTTCCACTACCTTCTACTTTGTGCAAAATAACGCAGGTTCGTTTTTCGCAAGCAAATTTTTTTGTGTTCCGTTGGATAAACAGACACCACGTGACATGGCGGCCTGAGGATTAAGGCGCCCGCTTTACCTACATACATGAGAATGCGGGTTCCAAACCTGGCAAGTACCAATGTGACTTTATTACTTTCTATAGGTAAGTGTTTCACACCTTGATCAAGTTCATTATTTGGACACATTTTATGCATGAGAAGTATGTACTAAGTTCTTAAGTTGAAGCTTATACTTCCCGGTTACGCTAAAGCATTACCTAATACAATAACACAGTTTATGGTTACATTACCTATTTCCAAAATGACAATATATAAATAAATAAATAAAAAATATTCTACTATTTAATGGATGTCATCATACCTATGTATAATTATGTAAAACTCCTCTTCCATCAATTTATGTATTGAAAAAACTGCATCAAAATCCGTTGCGTAGTTTTGAAGATTTAAGCATACAAAGGGATATACTTACCTAAGGACAGAAAATTCAACTTCTTTTATACTACGTAGTGAACACATTTTATTATAAAAATGTATTGACATAACCTTTCTAAGTTTAGACTTGTGCAATAGTAATAAACTATTGGCTAACATAATATATGTTTATTGTCTATTAAACTAATCATACAAATAAACATAGTAATAAAAGTATCAAATAAATTGTTCAGCCGCACACGTGGGTGCATACTCTATGCATCCTTAACGCGTTGCACTTTACTACAACAACGTACACATTTGCGTGTTTATTGACTATAAGAAATAATGAGTGCAATAATTTTATTAGAACTCCGTTCAGTACATAAAACTGCATGTTTTATAAGCATATTGTAGTGTGTCTAAAAATATGTATCTTTCCGCTCTATTGATATTTAAAGCTTGTAAATATGATAGTTAAACTAACTAGAAGTAATAGACAGGGTTTCGGATCATCATCATCATCATCATCAGCCTGATATTGTCCACTGCTGAACATAGGCCTCCCCAATTTCACGCCACTGAGCTCGATGTTCAGCTCTCCTCATCCAACCACTGCCAGCCACCCTGCAGATGTTGTCAGTCCACCTAGCTGGAGGGCGCCCTGCACTACGTTTGCCTATGGTTTCGGACGCAAGCCCAATAACGTGTCGCGGCCTCGGCCTGGAAAGGGAGAAGGGATGGGGTAATTTTTAATCAGTCAGAGTCAGACTCTCGCCACACCCAGGACGGAAGAAGAAGTACATAATTTTTTATCTTTTTTTCTAGGTTACCTAAATCATCAAATGACTTCTCCCGCGCAGGGTAAGTCGAGAGAAGTTGTCAGACTCTTACTGACTAAAATCACCCCCGTTTCTTCTCCTGCTTTAGGCCGAGGCCGCGGTGCCTCAATGCTCTTACCCCGCAACCCTAGAAGTACTTAGACAACTTCCTTACTTTAAAAAACCTCGGGAGTACCTAATACTAATTCAATAAATACGTAGAAACTTTGATGATTGCGAATAACGTAAATAATTAATATATTTACTTACATACAAACAGTGAAATAAACACAGATTTACATCAGAGAGTCAATTACAGAATAAGTTTTCGCGATACACGCTTCTGTTTTCTGTACTGTTTCTCGACCTTAATATAAGATCCCGATTTTTTTATTTGAATGTGGATTTGTGTGGTAAACTTGCTTAACATACAATTGTATCAAGTTCATTGCGGCTTCAGACATTGTAAAGCTCTTCATGAAGCATTCAGAATTAAGATAATAATTAAATAACAACTGTTTAAAACTTAAAAAGAGTTAAAGTCAAATGTGGACAACGCTAATACAAACAAAACAACTTTATTTATATGCCTGTAATAAAAAAAATTGGGAGTACCTATCTAAGCAAACTTATCATCGTGTTAGTTTTCGTTTTTGGAACTTTTTACACCATCTTTAAGCTGCACCTTTGGGAATTTGGTCTCTAAATAGATAAAAGGTTGCTACCTATTAGGTACAGGTTTTCTTTAGTAACTTATTTTATCTGTGGCTTTATATTATTCATATTTACATAAATTTTCTATTCTATGAAACTCGCATACCAATATATGTATTGTGTAATTCGATTTTTAAATTGTAATTCTCAAATATCAAAATATTGTATTTAAAGCGAAGAACAATCACACGAAAATATAGGCCGCCCACTGTCACATTGACATTGTAATAAAGAAAACAAAAGATCTATCTTGGAAAGCCTTCAACTACCGAAACTATTAAAGATATTAATCACAATTTAATATTATGTAGGTACCTATTATCAATATGAATGTAATAAAAGTTGTCTTTATTAAAAACTGCTATCGAAGGTCTTTACTTCCACTTGATT